CCTAAAAAAAAAAAAAAAACAATAAATCATGTGTATGTATTGGTTATTTTCGTACTAAACACTGTTAGAAGTTGTATTATGTCATTTTAACTAGAAAAAAATGGAGAAAAAAAGAAAAGAAATATGTTGGATATGATAGTTTCAATAATTACATAAATCGTAAAAAGTAAATCGATTGTGAATCGTGCGATTCACGAGAGATTCACTTCCAAAATAGATTCACCTATAGATTCGTATCGATTTTGCAAAAACCGTGAATCGAATCGCAAATCGTAAGATTCTAATAACAGAAATGGTAACTATTACCCTGGTTTTTATACAATTTGAATAGGTGGTTTTGTATTGATTTCAATCCTAATAAAGGAGTATAAAATAGTTACTATTCACTAAAAACTGTAGGATCCTTAAATTCATGACCACATTGGTTGCAATGTGAATAAGCTAGTGTAAATAATTTATGATACAACGTACGTTGTTATTATTCATGATACACAAATGCAAGTTTAATGGGTTAAGCATGGTTCATAGACATGAACTGCATCATGCATTAAATCTATTTTGCGGATGATTTTGATACTTAATTCATGAAATAAAAAGAAAAAGAAGAAAGATGCAAAAATTAGTCATCTTAATCATATATCTGTAAAATTATTCAATACCAATTCAGTAATTTAAGTAGTGATTGCAAGTACCTTATGAACAGACTGGCAGTACTGGCAATTAACCATGCATATTGAGAAGCAAATAGATGTGCTGATGTCTTAGCAAACTAAGAAGGTTGTATGACTGATGGATTGCAATTTTTTCACTACATTTCTCATTGTATTGCTAATCAGTTGTATAACATTGCCGTAGTAGGGGTTGAATACCCAGAACCATGTACTAAATTTATTTTTAATAAGTTCCAGTTAACCCAAAAACCATCCTCTAGCTAGGGCTCTCAAGAAATCAAGAAATGTTCAAAGGGACTTTACCTCCTGTTAGTGTAATATGCCCTCGCACCATTAAGAACATGCCCAAATTCATCTATAAGGGAAATGAGATTTGTCACAATTCCTTTTGCAGTCTCATACATTTTACTTGCTAGCAAACCCCTGCATGACAAATTCAAAGCCCCTCCCATTAAAAAGATGCTTGAGAACAAACTATAAAACAAACGAAAATAATGGAGATAACAAAAAAGTGTATCATGAAAATATCTCCAAGCTGTTGCCGGATGATTAGAAAAACTTAGGATCAACAGGCTGGTTGATTGGAAAAGACTTCGAGATGATTTTCACAACAAAAAAAAATTAAAAACATTTCATGGTCCGTAAACAAATGCAAAGGCAACAACTGAAACAAATATTTTGACTGACCAAATTAAAGTATGCAATAAAGAAACAACATATTTCAACTCAAGTAACTAAGGTACATTTTAAAAGTTAGGTAGAATAGTACATTGTAGGTATCATATAACTATAAGATAAAATTGACTAATTAGAAATATTTAGTTAATTTAGTGGCACACATTTAAATGGTTAGATGGTAAGGTTATGTTAATAATATTTAAATATATATATATATATATATGTTAGCCCCAAGGTTATTCGAATTTAAATTCTTATTGATTTTGATTATCGACAAATATTTTGAACTCATTTATTTATTCACAGTTTCCAAAATAATATTCCATTATTGCTCTTCATTGTTTCTAACAGATGAATGCTTCAAATCTGTCATGAATATTGGTACCTCAAAAACATGGAATTAGCACATGCATGCAAAACACTATTTGTGCTTAAAACAGGTACAAGGGTCGACACCAAGACAACAAGGGTTGACACCAGAACGAAGTACACAATGCCCAAGTGTTGCAGCAACCAAGGGTCGACACCAAGAATGACAAGGGTTGACACTAAATTTCAGTATACAAGGCTCAAACAATCCAGCAACAAGGGTCGACACCAAGAATGACAAGGGTTGACACTTAATTTCAGTATATAAGGCTCAGACAATCCAGCGGCAAGGGTTGACACCAAGAATGATAAGGGTTGATACTAAATTTCAGTATACAAAGTTCAGACTTCCAGCAAACAAAGGGTCGACACCCAGTTACGAAAGGGTTGACACCAGAAACACATGGAAATCAACACAGTGAAGAAAAGAGAGCAAAGGGTCGACACCAAATCTACAGGGGTCGACACCCTTAAATCTGGGTTTCAAAAAACCTAGCCGCCTATTTAGAACTATTCTAACACAACTCAAATCTTAGCCACCTTTTCTAACCTATGCGCAGAATAGCCATCATTTCTGATTTGTGAGCGGACTTTTACGACACAATATCTTCTACTATCAGCTTCTAAGATTTGACTTATAAGCTTGTGCATTTAATGAGGCTCCACTTCAAAAGACTTGATGACAGCCTGTGCACACCCATGCTCTGCTCCATACAGCTAGAAGATATCACCCCATGATTTGCTTCAACAGCTAGAAGACTCAATCATGCTTCTCTCCAACAGCTAGAAGCCATTAAAGCTATAAATGAAGAAGCTCTCCATATCTGAAAGTACTCTTAAACACAGAAACTCTGAGCATTCAATACCTTTCATTTATCATACTCTATTGTACTTCCACTTTCATATCTGAGTGTATTAAAAAATCTCTCTGCTCTTTCACTTTCATATTTATCTTTTGAGAGAAATATTTTGTAAAAAGAGGACAGTTGTACCTCTTATTCTTATTCCCTTATTTTTGAGTGAAACACTTATAAGGTGAGGCATTTAGTTGAGAGGTCCTCAACAGATAAAGTAAATCATGTGTAAAAATCCACAAGCTAGGTGAAGCTCAGTGGTGTATTGATTCGATTTATAGTGAAGGAATTCTCAAGGAGGTACCTTGCGGAGTGGACGTAGGCCGGTGAGCCGAACCACTATATATCTTTGTGTTTGAACTCTTCTCTCCTGCTCCTCTATTTTCAGTATAATTGATTGCTTGTTGAATTTATTTACTTGATTAATTACGATCAATTTTCTAGTAATATTTTTTAATTACCCAATTCACCCCCTCTTGGGTTGCCTACCTGCGTAACAATTGGTATCAAAGCCACATCTTTAGTTTTGTGACTTAACCATCTTAGAGCCATCTATGGCAACCCCTTGCTTCTCTCTTCCTGAAGGTCAAGTCTCAAAAGAGACCACCCTTTTTCAATGGCACAAATTTCAACTATTGAAAAATCCGCATGATTATGCATATCTAATCTATTGACTATGAGGTTTGGAAAATCATCTGTGATGGTCCCAAAGTCCCTACCAAAATCATAGATGATCTGAAAGTTCCCAAACTTGAGAGTGAATGGACTAGTGCTGATTATGAAGATATTCAAGCCAATGCCAAAGCTGTTAATAAGTTGTATTGTGCACTTGATGCTACTGAGTTCAATAAAATTTGCACTTGTACAATGGCGATAGAAATTTGGGATAAACTTATTGTAACTCGTGAAGGGACTACTCAAGTCAAAGAATCTAGAGTTAGTTTGCTTGTTCACAAGTATGAGCTTTTCAAAATGAAACCTAATGAGAACATCTCCCAAATGTTCACTCACTTTAATGATATTATAAACAGTCTGAAATCTCTTGGTAAAACTTATACTAATGCAGAAGTTGTCAGAAAAGTCCTCAGGTCATTGCCGAAAAGGTAGGAGAACAAAGTTATCGTGGTGATAGAAGCAAGGGACTTATCAAAATTAAGCCTTGATGAGTTGATGGGATTTCTCCTAACTCATGAGCTCATTATGCAAGAAGGAAAGGAAGAAGAGGACAAGAACAACAAGAGAGGGTTAGCCTTCAAGTCTACCTCAAAATATCAAGAGGAAGAAGAAGATGATTCAGAGAAAGATGATGAAGAAATGGCATTTATTACCAAGAAGTTCAAAAGGTTTGTGAAGAAGAAACAAGGTGTAAGGAAGTTCTTCAGAAAAGACTTCAACAAAGATTTTCAAAAAGGTGAAAATCACAAAAAATCTGAAATTACTTGCTATGAATGCAACAAATTGGGACACTAACAATCAGAATGTCTGAAGCTCAAAAAACAATACAAGAAGGACAAGAAGAAAGCCATGATTGCAGCATGGGGAGAAGATAGTGATGAAAGCGACTCAGAAACTGAAGTTTGCAAAAATGAAGTTGCTAACATATGCTTAATAGCGCTTGGAGATGAAGTAAATGATGAACCCTTTACTTTTGATGAACTACGATCTGCTTTTGATGAATTACATGCCGAATTTAAAAAGCTTAGTTCAAAAAGTAGTTGTCAAAAGAAAATGATTTCAAGTTTATCACAAGAAAATGAATTGTTGACGTCTAAGATCAATGCTTTAGAAAATGAAGCCTTGAAAGTGGAAAAGGAGAAAGAGGTTTTAAAAGAGTCTTCCAGAAAATGAGATTCTAAAAAAGGAGAAAGTTGTTTTAACTGAAAACATAGAAGACTTGAAAAATGTTCTTTCAAAATTTACTCAAGGTAGAGATACCTTAGACCAAATTCTTAAGAGTCAAACTCAAACCTTTGGAAGAGCTGGGATTGGATATAAACCATTTTCAAAAGTGAAGAATCCCAAAAAGATTTTTGTTCATGCAGTATCTAGTCATTCTTATCTCACATAGTATCTAGTCATTTTCATCTCACATGTCATTAGTGTGGTAGAAAAGGACACATCTCTCTTTCATGCCCTATTAAGAGAAATTTGTTTGTTAGAATGAAAAAGCAGTGGGTTCCCAAAAACACTTCAAATCCATGGACCCAAGAAATAATGGGTACCAAAAGGCCAACAAAAATCTGATTTTTGCAGGTGTGCTTTAGGTCAAAAGCCGGCAACAACCAGTGGTAGCTCGACAGTGCGTGCAACCAGTGGTAGCTCGACAGTGCGTGCTCAAGGCACATGACTTACGATAAAGCGATGTTCTCAACCCTTAAATCCAAAGGAGGTCATGTAACCTTCGAAGACAATAGTAAGGGAAAGATCATCAGTGTAGATAGTATTGGTAAAACTTCTTCACCCGTTATCGAGAATGTATTGCTTGTTGACGGATTGAAACATAACTTGCTTAGTATTAGCCAAATGTGTGATAAAGGTAATTGTGTTACTTTTGAAAAAACTCATTGCACTATTAAGAATTCTGTTGATAACAAAGTGCTTTTTGTTGGTCATAGGCATGAGAATGTGTATGTATTTGGTTTGCATAGTTTATTTTCCAATCATGATGTTAAGTGTTTATCTGCTATTAATGAATTAGGTTGGTTATGGCATAGAAGGTTAGGACATGCTCATATGGACTTGCTTTCAAAACTTTTAAAATTTGATTTAGTTGTTGGTTTACCAAAAATTGATATTGAAAAAGATAGACTTTACGATGCTTGTCAACAAGGTAAACAAACAAAAATTCTTTCAAATCCAAAAATGTTATTTCTACATATAGACCTCTTCAATTGTTGCATATTGATTTGTTTGGACCATCTAGGACTTTAAGTCTTGGTGGTAAATGTTATTGTTTTGTTTGTGTGGATAATTATACTAAATTTACTTGGGTGATTTTCCTGGAACATGAAAGTGATATTTTCTCTGCATTCTCTGCTCTTTGTAAACGTATTCGAAATGTGATTAGTCTTGCTATTTTGAAGCATCAGAAGTGATCATGGCAGAGAATTTGATAATGATGAGTTTATTCTATTTTGTAATGAGCATGGCATTGATCATAATTTTTCTGCTCCTCGAACTCCTCAACAAAACGGTGTGGTTGAAAGGAAAAATAAAGTTCTTGAGGAAATGGCTCGCACTATGCTTTGTGAAAATGATTCGCCTGGATAATTTTGGGTGGAAGCCGTGAATACAACTTGCTATGTTGTTAATTGTGCCATGATTAGACCCGTTATCAAGAAAACCCCATACGAATTGTGGAAAGGTAGAAAACCCAACATTGGACATTTGCGTGCTTTTGGTTGTAAATGTTTTGTACTCAATAACAATAAAGATAATCTTGGTAAGTTTGATGCTAAATCTATGTCAAGCCAAATATATCAAGGATCTCCTCAACAGATTTGAAATGAACTTATCCAAGCC